ACTACACAATCACTACACAAATAGCTAAAAACAAATCAGGAAGAAAAAATACATACAAATCTGTTTCAACAAAATACAGCCTACCACACATATAACTACAAAACACTACAAGACATCTACAGATATAAACATTATCTACAAAAATGTAGGAAGAAAAAAGTAACTACAACTCTGTTTCAAAATTTAAAAGCTAACGACAATATAACTACAAAACGACTACAAAATAACTATAATTATAAACTGTAAAAAATCACAACTACAAATAATCTACAAAATTAAGACAACTAATCTACAATTTACCAAAATACTTAAAACAGAGATTTTTACATCCAAAACAAAACTAAAAAACTGGAAACGAAAATAATAAATGTTTACCTTCACCAATTTTTTTTCTGAACCAGTTTTGGGAGTTTTTTGGACTGGTTGTTTTGAGGAAGCAGGAGACAACTTGGGGTTTTTAACTGTTGGAATTTTAGGGACATCTTCAACAAAGTCGTCATCTACACATACATCTTTCCTCTTTCTTTTGAGTTGTTTGCCGCCAGTTGTAGCACTTCCTCCAACATCTACATCGTGCATTTGCTTTGTTCTCATCTCAGCACGGATTTGTCTCGGAGATGAACTGTGGGTAGTAGGTTCCATTGCATGTGTAGATTTTACTTGTTTTTTTGTGGTGATTTTGGTGTTAAAACACCCAAATCGAAAGAGGGGATATCACATACTGTAGATTTTTTAGGTATTTTTTTGGGTAGATTTGATGTTCTTCATGGTTTAACTTCAACTTGACAAAAGATGAGAACGAATTTTGTAGAATGATAACTTCAATATTTGGTGAATTTAAATGGAGAATAATGAAGAACGTGGGTAGCTTTTGTTCTGTAAAGAAGAAAATAGGCGTTAAACACGGGGGAGTGAAGGGAAAAGGGAAAACGTAGGGGGACCTTAAACATTGAGGGTAATAAGGTTTCATATATGGCAAAGGAATGTTAAAATTTCAAATTATAAACTGTTACCGAACCGTTAACCCGATAACCCAATACCGATAGTCCAATAAACAAGTAATGTTTCGGGTTATCCGTTTTACCCATATATGCCCAGCCTTAATCTGAGCACCTCGTTAAAGAGTGAATTAATAATTCCAAAGTGGCTTTACAATCATCAATGCACATTGTACAACACTTTTAAAGCTCAGTAGCCATATCAAAAAAGCTTTGAAGCTAGTTAAAAGGAAAAAAACAAAAACAAAAAAACTTTGAAGCAAATGCTTCCGCCATAGCCAGGACTTCACGAACCTCATTCCCCAAACGAACAGAAATGCTAAGGGCAACCATGTCAACAATACCTCTTACCCTTCAATCTTCACAATCTCTCAAACACTTATTCTCCCTTTCCCATTTCCAAAAACCCCTTATCCACTCTTTTAATCAACCAAAAAAGCTCACAACTTTTACAAGAAGACTGTTTTCTATAAAACCCATTTCAGTTTCATCCCCAATTAGGACTTATGTGGATGAGAAAATCGACCCCACATACTTATCTTGCTCCATGTCACATAAAAATCCTCTCAAAGTTGCGGTTTTGGTTAGTGGCGGCGTTGATAGCAGCGTCGCTCTTAGACTGCTTCATGCTGCTGGACATTCCTGTACTGCTTTTTATCTCAAGATTTGGTTTCAAGTATGTAACTTCACTACTTTTGCCCATAATTATTTAGTCTTCTTTTGAGTTGGTATACAGAGTTAAAGAATATGAGCTGCTTTTGCTACTATTTCCTCTTTCTATTTTGCTTTTGATAAATCAAATAAGTGGTACTCCCCAGTTTGATTGGGCATGAAGTTTTTTTATAACCAGCTTGCGCGCACCTCGACTAATTCTGTAGTATACCTGCCACCTCCCACCATTACCACGTAATTGGGTACGAAGTTTAAGAAATGAAGAAACTTTGTGAAACCCATGGTCTAAAATAAGCTATATACTACGCCTTGAAGCGAGGTGCAAAACATTGATGGCTTCGCCTCTCTTAGCGGGTGCTTCAGTGTGGTCATTAAGACTCTAAGGCATATTTTTCCTTGCTAATGAACGTAATCCTGAAGAGGCGAGACTAAACAATTGATATTTCACATAATTTTCTTTTTTAATTTCTTTATCCATATATTTATCATTCATGCTTATAATTATTAGTTTTTGACTACACATACATATTTGTATTTTTTCCACCATATGTGCCTTTCTTCATTTAAGCCCACACTTTATTTGCATTTTGCGCTTAAAGGTGCAACAAACCTTTGAGTTTTTTGCACTTTTCGCCTTTGATAACATTGACGACCCCTTAATCTTTTTAGTTTCAAGCAGTGAATTTGGTTTATCAAACAATTCCTAAAGTGTATTGCCTTCTCTTTTGTAGGAAGACTTTGAGAACTTTTGGTCTGAATGCCCATGGGAGGATGACTTAAAATATGCAAAGGCTGTTTGTGACCAGGTCAGTCTTTTTTCCTCGGTCATTTTCTTATGTATTGGTTTGGAACAGAATTTTGATACATTGTAGACACAGCTGCTTTCTTTCAGTCATCTCTGTAGTGATAGCTCTGTCTGATTTAGGTTAATTTTCTGTTAAATGCTAAATCTGAAGTTAATGGACAGGATTATACAACTTCCTGCCTGGCTTTAGAAAAAGAAAAAAGGAAAAAGGATAACCATACCGAATACCAAATAGTTTGAAATAAGATTAAATCAAGAGTTTTCGGGCATGATGCACTTTACCTTTGCACATAATCCATATTGTGGGTGATTGTTTCTTTTACCTGGCCGTGCATTAGTAATCTGATATTCCCAACCATGTTTCTGCGAGTGCTTTTGAGGTTGATGTTATGTTTCCACAAGGTCTTTTCAGGTTGATGGTTCCTGTTATGGAGGGAGGGAGGAGGTGTTCATTCTCTTGCATTAGTTAGTTTGCTATTTCCAAATTAAGTTTCCACAGCATCTGTTTTCAAACTTTTCAGGTTGATGTACCATTGGAAGTTGTCCATTTGACTGATGAATATTGGAATAATGTGGTATGTTTCTGTTTACTTTTGAGCTGCTTAATTACTCATTTTACCAGCTTTGTCTCATTGAGTGGAACTTTGTTACGTGTTTATTGGGTTCTGTTTACAAAGGTTTCTTCATGTGATGTAATATAAAGATAAGCTAGAGGCTATTGATGAAAGCTCGGTTGTAATTTTGTTTTTTGATATGTAAGTTTAACATGTTCAGGTATCATATATCATTGAGGAGTACAAATGTGGCAGGACTCCAAATCCAGATGTCCTTTGTAATACTAGAATAAAATTTGGTCAGTCATCTTACATTATCAATGCACTATTTTTTGCTGCCTTTTAATTTCGTTGGCTTGAAAATGGCAAAACAAATTTTCAGGTGCTTTTATGGATGCCATTAGCGGAATGGAATTTGACTTTGTTGCTTCTGGACATTATGCAAAGATTGTCCACGCATCTACTGATCATCTGGATGAACCTTCTATCTTAGAATTGTCAAAGGATATGGTGTGTATATAATGTTTTGAACTTGTATTTGCAGTACGTTTTTACCATACTTATACATGTTTCTTTGAGCCTGTTTCCATGTTTTCTTTTGTAAAGTTTGATGTATTTACTTGAGAAGGGGAGATTTTGAAGATGACATGGTGGGAAAGAATCTTTCTTGATTTTAGGTAAAAGGATGAACATACGAGAAATTGAATAAACTTAGGCAGATGTATATGGTCAGGAATTAAGCATTATGCTCCCATCAAAAGCAGTTTTGTTTGCAAGAGACATACGTGTTCAGCAGACGAGGATGGACTGTTTGATAAAATACATTTGCACACTGAGTTTCTCTTCTATAAAGAAAGGAAAAGTTTTTTTTTTCGATTTGGTTAAAAAACAAATAAATGAAAAAATGTTTGAGTTTGGTTGGTTTAGCGATAGTCCGTTCTACCCGAATTGGTCGAATGCCCAAATCCATATTGATTCGAGAAAATTCTGGACGGGTTGGTTCATCAGCCATTTATTGACTCAACCCTTTTAGACTGGCCTAAATTTAGCCCGACATTCCTATTTGATACCTCTAGTTTGTGAGTGTACCAAGTTGTGCTAGTATTGTCCTCCATTTTTCTGAAAACTTGCATTGAAGGGCTCTTTAAAATCTCCTGCCTACTCTTGGCATAATTAATTTCTTTTCAGAAATCCCATGTCTTCCTTAGTCTAGTGAACAGTAACATTAAACAACACATGAGTGAAATTCTTTGAAATTCCATTTCTATGTTCATCTTTTTATGTATTTTGGAAGTTCTGCATGATATTTCTGTAGTTTCGTCTGATTTTTCCTAGTATTCTAAACACGTCCTCGTCCCAAGTTTTTCGTTCTCTTTTTTGGGTCAATGCAGCTGATTTCTTATGTCCGCAGTGGTGTTGTTTCAGGTCAAGGACCAAACCTACTTCCTTTCGCATCTCTCACAGGCTCAGCTTAAACGGCTGATTTTCCCACTTGGATGTATCCCAAAGGTGAGGTGAGACTTTTCTAATTATGCTTATCACTTCTCTACAATATCGTTGCTATAAAATGATCAAATATTATGTTGCTGAGAGAGAATCCGTCTTTACCCTCCTTCATACTGGGATGTGATCATTTGAAAAATTCAATTCTTCATTGAGGCTGAAGTGCTCTTAATCTTTCATCACGTATCTACAGGATGAAGTTCGCATGCTTGCTAAATCATTTAATCTACCAAACCAAGACAGGAAGGATTCACAAGGAATATGCTTTCTTGGCAAGGTCTGTTTTACCAGCACATTCGACAGTTAACATGAACTTTTTGTTTTTTGGTATAAGGTGATGTCGGTACAGTCGTATGCCATTCTCGTGAAGTAACTTAAATAGGTTAGTTACTAACTAGTTTAGCTATTCCTGCTGGTAAGTTGTAACCAGTTAAGTAGCTCTCTTAACCATGACTCATGAGCATTATTTGCTAAACAACAATAGATGAGCTTGCCGGATTTATTGCGGCAAACAGGTAATTGTCTAAAATTGTCAATGCAAAGTGGGCCTTACAATCTTTTTGCTATATCTGAACCATTTTATATCAAGCTGCCAACACATTATAATGGGATGTGGAGGTTCACATTTTTCCATCCACCAGTACGGGTAATATAAGTATATTCTATAACCATGACTAGTTAGATTTGAAAACTTCATCTTCTGCATAGAGGGTCTACACGACAAATCTCTTAGCCGTAGATTCATTATTTTAGCTACACACTTTCTTAATTCTGTTAGATTGCAAACTTCTCCAAAAAGTTTAAGATTTGTTCTTAATTTTTTGTAGTTGCATATAGTTCAATTGACCCCAAGAGATCTTAGTCTCAGTTCCATTTGGAGTTTCAGATAAAATTCAGTGAATTTGTCGCTAGACACATTGGAGAATCAGAAGGTGTTATATTGGAAGCAGAGAGTGGAGATTATCTCGGAAACCACCGTGGCTTTTGGTTCTATACTATTGGCCAACGCCAAGGTTTACGTCTTCCTGGAGGACCCTGGTATGTGTCTACTAGCTCTTTCTTAATATATATGTGACCAGCTCTGGTCTCAAGTAGTTATGCAGTTTGATTATCTTATATCCATTTGTTTTTTATTGTGTTATTAACCGCCTACTGCACATGGCTACTTGATCATTAACAAGTTATATGGCGGATGACAGTTGCCATAATCCACCCTCCAAAGAGAACAAAATGCTTGCGTATTGTCATCTTATGGCCCTGATCTTCATTGTGTTTAGGAATTATGAGCAATTATAGTAATCATCAATCCAAATATATGTTGTTCTTTTGCATGAGTTTTCAAATGTGCTTATTAAATATTTTGCTTACTTTGTAGGTATGTTGTGGAGAAGGATATTAAAAACAATGTCGTATATGTATCGAGAAATTATTTCTCTGTTGACAAGAAAAGACGGTTATTTCGTGTTGGATCCTTAAAATGGCTCAGTGGGTTACCTCCTAGACAAATCAGTCAGCTTCAATGCAAGGTAAATCTTCCTTTTATTGTTTCCTCCGTTAAACTTCTTGTTTATTGTTTGAGTTCATTGACACCTTTATACGTATCTAAGAATGTTCAACATGAACTTAGGCTGTAAAGAACAAAGGCTATAATATACGTGACATAGCAGACTAGTGGAGATAAGAGTTGAATTTCTTGGGATTTCATTTTTCTTTTGCTTGATTATTTTTATTTTAGGTGGGTACTGTTGTTTTTTCCAATTTTTTGCAATGTGAGCTTGGTAGCACTGGAAATTCAGAGTAATATGGTGTTTATATACAAGCAAAATTCTTAGTTTTTACTGGTTTTCTAGGTTCGTCATGGTCCCGGTTTTTACAACTGCAGCTTGGCCATGGAAGTTGATGAACATGGGCAGGAAGTTGCAGTTGTCCGGATATCTGAAGATGATCAGGGTCTGGCAGCTGGACAATTTGCAGCCTTTTACAATGGAAGGACTTGTATTGGTTCTGGCGTAATACTGGAGTCATGGGATGATCAAGGATATCCAATTTGTGAGAGGGCTCTTGAAATTGCTCGAATGGAAGATAAATCCAAGCTTGGGAAACCAGTCAAGATAATGGTAAAACCAGAGCAGAGTTTTGCTACAATCTGATAAAAAATATGAGGCAAATCTTTATATGGAATTGCTAATTCTGGAATTGCTAATTCTGGAATTGCTGTCACTAACTAGATTTCACCTGGTTTGGTATGCATTACATTGGCTGCAATATCTTGAAGAATATCAGTGATAAAGTGTTTTAGGCTCTATACATGTAAACTCTAATGAGTTAAAGATTTATTAGGAGGGTTAAGTTTGTTATATATAATATTGGACTGAGATATGGTCACGGGCTCGAGCCGTGAAAGTAGCCATTGATGCTTGCATTAAGGTAAGTTGTCTACATCACACCCAAGGGTGCGGTCATTCCCCGGACCCTGTGTGAATGCTGATACTTTGTGCATCGGACTGCTCGACTGAGATAGAGCTTATATGGACAGGAGAAGTCGACCCTTGCTTGCGATTGAGGCGCAATAGTTGTTATTATTGTCAAGAGAGCTAGTGAAATATGCACCTGGGCATTGGAGGAGGGTGGTTGGTTGATTTTTAGTTGTATAGGAACTATCATTTATCTTTAATGATACAATATTTCCCAAGATTTAGTTGGGAGGCATTGGTTAAGTGAAGCAGCTTTATATCTCAGTAGATAGACCAGTTGCTATCTGTTTTATAGAATATCTTTTTCTTTAATTTTCTTTTAGTTTCCAATGATAAAAACACAATGATATTAAAAGAGATGTATGTACCCCTTTTTCTTTAATAGTCTGACCGTTTGCTTATTTTTTCTGGATGTTTTTACTATTTCATTTGCCGTAGTTCACTAAAAGCTGTGATTTTGTTGTATTGAACCGAGAGTTTTTCGAAAATAGCCTATTTACCTTCACAAGGTATAAGGATTGCGAACATACTATTATCCCCAGAATCTACTTGTGAGAATATTCTGAGTATGTTGTTGTATTTGTTGTTAGTCTGACTGTTGCAGTCAAACCTTGTATATCTTGAGACCGTTTTACCTGAACTGACACAGTATTGTAATCTTCTTGAGATAAATATGTATCTTTACCCACATTTGGGACTATCTTTTTGTCTTTATAGTAGTTTTTTCCCCAAAATATGAATTTTTGGCCGTAACATTGGGGGTAATTATAGTCAGAATTCCAAAAATATGCAAAACAGATATGTAAAATTTGATTTTTGGCTGAAATATGTAAAACAGTCCGTTTGAGAGATGAATTTAAATAGCATTTTAAAAATGTAATCTACAAAATTTTAGAAATGCGACTATAAATTATATTTTAGATTGCGACCTATAAATTGCACTTAAAAAAAATATGATTGGTAAATCGTACTTCAAGAATATGACTTAAAAATATACTTCAGAAATGTGCTTACAAAATGCACTGGAAAAATGCGATTAGTACATCGCACTCCAGCATATAACAAATAGCACATAAAAATCGATTCCACACAGCATTTCAAAATCTATAAACGACAAACAATAACAATAACAATCCCTAACCATGTTGTTTCCGAAGATACTTAGCTCAACAAAGATGAAAAGGAAATGTAAAAAAATAAGCAACTTATAAATGCATAAACGATCAACGCGACTTATAAGTTGCATTATGAATGCGACTTATAAATAATATTCTAAAATTGGACTTACAATATGACATGAGAAACGCAGCACCTTATAAATCGCATCCTACAAATGTGCCTTATAAATATCTACAAACGCTTATAAACGCATTCCCCAAATACGACTTATATTAAACATCAGACTTTCCGTTTATAATAACCTCTCTGGACTGGAAGACAAAGGATAACCTCTCTTTGCTCCTTCACTCTCTCAGCATCAATGGAGGTAAGTGCAGCAATATCTCTATCACGAACTCTCTCTCTCCTCTCCCCAATTGCACCCACTTCTTCCTCTATTCCATTTCTTCCACCTGTCTCTCTCTCCCGCCGTTGCCACCTCCGCCATCGCCGCTACACTCTTAGCCGGAGCTTTTGCCTTCCACCGGCCGTACCGTTCTCCAGTAGTAGTACACAAAATGAAGATGAAGAAGCGGAGTTGGTGGAAATTGAAGACTCTGAATTAGAAGAAGAGTATATTGAAGATGATGATAGCAATAGCATTGATGTTGAGTCACTCGAACGTGAAGCTGAACTTGTCGTTCGAGAATTTTCAGATTCTTTGTCTCGACAATTGACTATAGGTTTATCTCTATTTCCATACTTTCACTTTACGAGTTATATTTATAGAGAGAGTTACTCTATCCTGAAATGTGTGTCTCTGTGTGTGTGTGTGTAAAAGTCCAAAACTTGCAATGCTGCCTCTTTAAAATAGAATAATTCGAAAACATGACTCATACTCTAACTGAGATTTTCTTCAGTTATTGTTTGGTATATTGAGTTTAATCTGAAACAAGTTACAAATGTGAGAGAGATTGTTGTTATCATATTTTTCTTTACCATCCTTGTTCTCTGTACACACTAACTCCCCAGACCCATTACACTGGGTTGGTTGTTGTTGTTGTTGTTGTTGGTCTTTGTACAGAAGGTTAACCAAACGGAGTCTTGGACTGTCCTTTGAGCTTCAAAATTAGACACTTTCTAGTTGAACATAAAGCGGCAAAAGGGGATAGCAGTAGAGCGAAGGAATCTTAATTGAAAGTTTGAAATATTCCAAGTATAAGATTTATTTTTCCCCTTGATGCTGAAGTTTTAACCTTTTTAAACAGGGAAATCCAAAATACTATCTTCCCTTTTCCTTGTTTTTTTCTAATTGTGGTGTCCGGGCCAGCTCTCACGCACCTCGACTAATTCCACAGTATACATGCTACCTCCACCGCAACCGGTACTAGGTAACTCTATTTACCAAGGAATGGACAAATAGGAAGAAATCACGTGGTGTTTTTGTCTCCGCAGGGATTTGAACCTGAAAACTCAAGTTCTCGACCCACTTCATTGACCACTAGGCCATACCCTTGGGTGCTATCTTTCCTCCTCTATCTGCACAAACATAGGGCCTTTGCATTTCCCCCTTCCCATCCTGCATATGTTATTTCAACTGAAGGGTTTCCTCCTAAATACTAGAAAATTGCCGACATGTAACTCTAGCACAGAGGTTCAATGATACTGCAATGGATGGAGTTCTGTGGATAATCCTGTTACAGCTCTTTAACTGCTAAAGCTTTGGAAATTGATTTTGCTGTTAATCATTGAATTGCAGGGAAGATGAGACCAAAATGCAATATATTTTATAAGATCTTGCTAAACTGTTCCGTTGTTGCAGCCTATATCTTTTTAGCCCTTTAACTCTCAAGATGTTCTTCCTTTGTTGATTACAGAAGAGGAGAGATCTAGTCCAAAAGAAGCACAAGTCAAGGAGAAGAGACGTAATAATACCTCAAAAAATGTTAGTATCTCATCTGCTACTATGTTGGAACTTATACTCCCATACTTAAGAGAGTCTTACTGAGAAAATAAAATTGAACTGTAGTAGAGATTTGTTCATAAATCATGATATGATATTCTTGTCTGAAGGATTCTTCCCTTTGTTTGTTATTATATAAGCCTGCTATGTGTAAACTGGAAATTGATTATTAATCATGAAACTGAAGAAAGAGCCTGAAGTGAGACTGCAACCATAACTCATTTTAAGTAATTGCTTGTCCTCATTTTTCGCATTATGATAAGCACAAGATACTACACCTTTCTTTTACTTGACTCAACTCTTTCTATTTTGTGATTATTCAACTAGTATCTTGGAATCATGAGTAGCTATGTGTTTTGAATCTAAGAGACTCCTGTGTTGAGCTGCCGAATTGACTCGTCTAGCCAGAAAAAGAAGGATAGGTTGGAACACAATTTCCAACATGTTGCTTGGATCCTCCAAAATGCCGCTGCACCAATGTCGGATCCTCCAAAAAACCATTACTTTCGGAGGATTTGCGCACACCCGGCAGCATTTTTGGAGACTTGCGCAACATAGATTTTCATCAAGCAAACGGCTAAAATATGTACAAAGGCAGTTCAGCAACTAACATTCTGAGTGCTTTGTTTTCTTTTCAACAAGTGATGTGACTATGCTTCCCTGAGCCGAGGGTCTATTGGAAACAACCTCTCTACCTTCACAAGGTAGGGGTAAGGCTGCGTACACACTATCCTGCTCTCCCAGACCCACTTGTGGGATTACACTGGGTTTGTTGTTGTTGTTGTTGTACTAACATTCTGAGTGCTTTGTGAAGATCTACCTTCTATGTCCTCTATGTGTATTCTACTAATTTACTGTGATCTATATGAAGATCTAAGTTTATACGGTTGACTTGACCAGTAAAAGTTTATTTGCAGATTCCTGATCATCTTCTTCCTAAGGTGGCGATTGTTGGAAGACCGAACGTTGGTAAATCAGCACTATTTAATCGTCTTGTTGGGGTATTTTCTCTAAACTTGTCTTGATTTTTGATTGCCAGGAAATAGAACCTTGACAATCTTTATAAATGATCCAGTTTTCTTATATGATTTCTTCTTGCTCTGGATTTCTCTTCATGACACTTGTTTTATCTTCATCAGGGGAAGAAGGCCATTGTGGTAGATGAACCCGGGGTAACAAGGGATCGCTTGTATGGTAGAGCATTTTGGGGAAACTATGAATTTGTGGTGGTGGATACAGGAGGTGTGCTTACCATTTCGAAATCACAAGCTGATTTAATGGAAGAACTTGCTATCTCAACAACAATTGGAATGGAGGGCATTCCACTTGCTACCAGGGAGGCCGCTGTTGCTAGAATGCCTTCAATGATTGAGAAACAAGCTACTGTGGCTGTTGAAGAGTCATCTGTCATTATATTCCTTGTTGATGGCCAGGTATATCCTTTAGCCGAATTACTTGGAGACTAATTTTATTTTGAAAAATTAATTAATAAGGGGTGATGAACTTTCATTTTTAGGTAATGAGATTTCCAAAAAGATAGAGGGTGTGTTTGGTATGAAGGATACATTTTCGGAAAATGTTTTCCTACTTTTCGTTTGTCTGGGAAAATATTTCCTGAAATTAAGGAAAAATGATTTCCAAGAAGAAAGCATTTTCCTTGAACCGTGATTAGAGTTTTGTTCCCCTTTTTCTCAACCCACCCTCACTCTCTCTACCTCATCCCCCAGTGGCGGAGCCAGAATTTTCATTAAGATGGATCAAAATATAAAGAAGTAAACTCATGAAGAAGCCAAGGGGTGTCAATATGTTACCTAGCTGCATAGTGTAATTTTCTGAAGAAGGAGTATCGACACCCCTTAAATACATGTGGCTCCGCCACAGCCTTCCCCCACACGGTCTTAAGCTTCTCATGTGTCATGCAGTTAGCAGAACCGACATGCTTAATATATGGATGTCGTAACTTTCTTTATTGTCAAATTCTGATTGCTAGACATTACCTTATTCTTATTAGTGGTTAAAGTGTATAGATTAATATGGTAAGACAGAATAACAAATTTTAAACAGGCAGGTCTAAATGCTGCTGATGTGGAAATAGCAGATTGGCTACGCAAGCACTACTCGGACAAATGTATTATTCTTGCTGTAAATAAGTGTGAATCTCCACGCAAGGGAATCTCACAAGCATCAGAGTTTTGGTCTTTGGGGTGAGCTGATTATTCTGGCGATATATCATTATTTTTGTACCATAAGTTCTGTTTATTTCTTTTGTTTATTGGAAAGTCTGTTGCGTTCTGTGCTTGAGATTTTCAAAAACTAGAATTCTTTTCCCTAATCTTTTTCAG